TCCCCCCCCCTCTCCAGCATCAATCAGATCCTCCCCCCCCTCCCAGCATCAATCAGATCCTCCCCCCCCTCTCCAGCATCAATCAGATCCTCCCCCCCCCTCCCCCGCATCAATCAGATCCTCCCCCCCCTCCAGCATCAATCAGATCCTCCCCCCTCCAGCATCAATCAGATCCTCCCCCCTCTCCAGCATCAATCAGCGATTCCTCCCCCCCCCCTCTCCAGCATCAATCAGATTCCCCCCCCTCCTCTTCCAGCATCAATCAGATCCCCCCCCCCCCCAGCATCAATCAGATTCACCCCCCCTCCCCAGCCCATTCCAGATCCCCCCCCCCAGAGAGCCCAATCAGATCCCCCCCCCAAGGCCGTTAAGCACAATCAGAACCCCCCCCCCTCCCCAGCACCAATCACATCCCCCCCCCCCAGCATTAATTAGATCCCCCCCCCCTCCCCAGCATCAATTAGATCCCCCCCCTCCCCAGCACCAATCAGATCCCCCCCCCCAGCACCAATCAGATCTGCCCCCCCCCCCAGCACCAATCAGATCCCCCCCCCCCCAGCGCACACTCCCCAGCACAATCAGATTCCCCCCCCCCCTCCCCAGCGCCAATCAGATTCCCCCCCTCCTCCCCGACGCCAAATCAGATCCCCCCCCTCCCCTAGCACCAATCAGATTCCCCCCTCCTCCCCGACGCCAATCAGATTCCCCCCCTCCTCCCCGACGCCAATCAGATTCCCCCCCTCCTCCCCGACGCCAAATCAGATTCCCCCCCCCCTTCCTCCCGATTTGCCCCTGTGACGGGAGTGACTTTGGGGCTGGGGGGCCCATGGAACACAGCTCACTTTGGGTGGGGGGCCCATGGAAACACAGCCCCCTTTGGAGAGGTGGGGAGACCCCTGTCTCAGCTCCCCATATCCCTATTATGTGTAAGTCCCCCTGTGCCTGTTAGGGGTACAGGGTGATCTGTCCTAATATTGGGGGGGGGGGTTGTGGATTGTTTGGTGTCATGTGGTTACATCCCATTGTTCTATTGTGTGTCTGGCTTGGGAGAGTAACTATTATGGGATGTTTGTGTATTGGCTTGGTGGGGGGTGTCTCCAGCAGCCCTCCCTCCTGATGGGACTGTCTGTTGGTGTGTCTCTTCTTACTAAATGCAGATTGCCCCGCCCTGTGTCGTTATGCAGGGAGGGGGGATTGCCCCGCCCTGTGTCGTTATGCAGGGAGGGGGGATTGTATTGTGGTGGGTTCAGGTCAGAAGATACGTGGAGGGTGGGATGTGGTCGGGATTGGTGGATCTCAGCACTCATCTCTTGTCTGTGTAGATCAGGGGGAGAGCGGCTCAGACCCGGGAGACTCTGCGCCAACATTTCCAGGACATGAAGAGCGCCGTGTCCAAGATGCTGGAGGAGAGGCTCGCCGTTCTCCTCCTACAAGTGGACGCCGTGGAACACGACAACATAAAACCTCTGGATGACTGTCAGAAACTGCTGGAACACGGGGTCAGCACAGCCGAGGACCTACTCCGAGAAGGTGGCTGGTCTAAGGGGGGCATTGTCCGGGGGGGCCTGTATAAGGGGGGCATTGTCCGGGGGGGACAGTATAAGGGGGGGCATTGTCGGGGGGGGGCACAGTCCGGGGGGGGGGCTGTATAAGGGGGGTGGCATCGTCCAGGGGGGCCTGTATAAGGGGGGCATTGTCCGGGGGGGACTGTATGAGGGGCATTGTCCAGGGGGGGCATTGTCCGGGGGGGCCTGTATAAGGGGGGCATTGTCCAGGGGGAGCATTGTCCGGGGGGGACTGTATAAGAGGGGCATTGTCCTGTAGGGGGGCATTGTCCGGGGGGGACTGTATAAGGGGGGGCATTGTCCGGGGGGGGGCAGCCTGTATAAGGGGGGGCACAGTCCAGGGGGGGCCTGTAGAAGGGGGGGCACAGTCCAGGGGGGACAGTATAAGGGGGGCACAGTCCAGGGGGGACAATATAAGGGGGGCACAGTCCAGGGGGGGGACAATATAAGGGGGGCACAGTCCAGGGGGGGGGACAGTATAAGGGGGGCACAGTCCAGGGGGGACAATATAAGGGGGGCACAGTCCAGGAGGGGGGACAGTATAAGGGGGGCACAGTCCAGGAGGGGGGACAGTATAAGGGGGGCACAGTCCAGGAGGGGGGACAGTATAAGAGGGGCACAGTCCAGGAGGGGGGACAGTATAAGGGGGGCACAGTCCAGGAGGGGGGACAGTATAAGGGGGGCACAGTCCAGGAGGGGGGACAGTATAAGGGGGGCACAGTCCAGGGGGGACAGTATAAGGGGGGCACAGTCCAGGAGGGGGGACAGTATAAGGGGGGGCACAGTCCAGGGGGGACAGTATAAGGGGGGCACAGTCCAGGGGGGACAGTATAAGGGGGGGCACAGTCCGGGGGGGGGGGCACAGTATAAGGGGGGCACAGTCCAGGGGGGGACAGTATAAGGGGGGCACAGTCCAGGAGGGGGGACAGTATAAGGGGGGCACAGTCCAGGGGGGCACAGTTCAGGAGGGGGGACAGTATAAGGGGGGCACAGTCCAGGGGGGACAGTATAAGGGGGGCACAGTCCAGGGGGGACAGTATAAGGGGGGCACAGTCCAGGAGGGGGGACAGTATAAGGGGGGCACAGTCCAGGGGGGACAGTATAAGGGGGGGACAGTATAAGGGGGGCACAGTCCAGAGGGGGGACAGTATAAGGGGGGGGGGGGGACAGTATAAGGGGGGCACAGTCCAGGGGGGACCCCATAGGGGGTATCCTTCCCGGTGGGCCCCTTACAATGACGTCACTGTTGTTTCCATGTTCTCCCTCTTCCAGGCGAGGGCGTCGTGTCGGGTGAAGCTGGGGGGGACCATGAGGACTTGTGTCATTTCACCAAACAAGGCTCTTCACATCCAACTGGACAGGTGAGGCCCGGGGCCGGCCTGTGTAATGTGGGGTGCAGTCGGGGGGGGGGGGGGGCAGTGTACAGGGTCAACCGTGTGAAGAACAGGGGTCAGAGGTCAGTAGAAAGTGACGCAGGGGTCAGATTTTAACTAACAGTGGGAGGGGGCATAAAGGTGAAGGATGAAGCGGAACCTGTGCCTACTCCCCGTACACCTCGTGCTACTCCCCGTGTCACGCGTGACGGCCTCACACGCAATGCTACTCCCCGTGTCACGCGTGACGGCCTCACACGCAATGCTACTCCGCGTGACGGCCTCACACGCAATGCTACTCCCCGTGTCACGCGTGACGGTGAAGGCTCACACGCAATGCTACTCCCCCGTGTCACGCGTGACGGCCTCACACGCAATGCTACTCCCCGTGTCACGCGTGACGGCCTCACACACCGCAATGCTACTCCCCGTGTCACGCGTAATACTACTCCCCGTGTCACGCGTGACGGCCTCACACACAAACCTCGGATGGAAGGATCAGGAAACATGTAAACATTTCCATCACATGTACTTTTCTGCACACTAATAGGGAACTTTGTTCTAGCCGACTCTAAAGAACTTCATTAGAGTCCCCAGAGTCCCCTCTACATCAGAGTCCTCTCCCCTTACATTAGGGTCCCCAGAGTCCCCCGTCTACATCAGAGTCCTCCCCCTTACATTAGGGTCCCCAGAGTCCCCTCTACATCAGAGTCCTCCCCCTTACATTAGGGTCCCCAGAGTCCCCTCTACATCAGAGTCCTCCCCCTTACATTAGGGTCCCCAGAGTCCCCTCTACATCAGAGTCCTCCCCCTTACATTAGGGTCCCCAGAGTCCCCTCTACATCAGAGTCCTCCCCCTTACATTAGGGTCCCCAGAGTCCCCTCTACATCAGAGTCCTCCCCCTTACATTAGGGTCCCCAGAGTCCCCTCTACATCAGAGTCCTCCCCCTTACATTAGGGTCCCCAGAGTCCCCTCTACATCAGAGTCCTCCCCCTTACATTAGGGTCCCCAGAGTCCCCTCTACATCAGAGTCCTCCCCCTTACATTAGGGTCCCCAGAGTCCCCTCTACATCAGAGTCCTCCCCCTTACATTAGGGTCCCAGAGTCCCCACTATCAAGGTTCTTACAGCCCCCTTTACATCAGGGTCCCCAGGGGTCCTAGGACGGTCACCAGAGCCCCCTTCTTTACATTAGGGTCCACAGAACCATCCACCTTCAGGACCCCCAGAGTAACCCCCTTAACATCAGTGACCCTAGTGTCACCCCACATGTCGAGGTCCTTAGAGTCACCCCATTAAAGGGGAGTCCCCAGAGTTTCCCTAGTTACATCCGGTCTCCAGAGTCCCCTTTATATCAGGGACCCCCCTCCTCCTTACATCAAGGCCTCAAGAACCCATAGAACTGTAGGCAACAAGGAAGGGGGCGTGTCTATCGCCACCCAGGGCTGGACGGAAGCTTCATATTGGCCCATCTGTGGGTAGGCGGGTCCAGTACCAGCAGCCTGTGGGCGGCTCTAGTGCCCAGCAGTGCTTATTGTGTTGTGATGGCAGGAAACCTCCCGCTGTCTGAGCAAACAATGCCGTGCGACCGATCCACGCGTGTCCATCGGGGAATCGAGCAACACGCACACTGTTCAAGGAGGAGCTCACCTTCCTGGAGCAGATAATAAACACGCAGCTAAATCCGTGTTCTGGTGGTGGGGACATGTGGGAGGGGTGGAGTATCCGTGTTCAGGTGGTGGGACATGTGGGAGGGGTGCAGTATCCGTGTTCAGGTGGTGGGACATGTGGGAGGGGTGCAGTATCCGTGTTCAGGTGGTGGGACATGTGGGAGGGGTGCAGTATCCGTGTTCAGGGTGGTGGGACATGTGGGAGGGGTGCAGTATCCGTGTTCAGGTGGTGGGACATGTGGGAGGGGTGCAGTATCCGTGTTCAGGTGGTGGGACATGTGGGAGGGGCAGTATCCGTGTTCAGGTGGTGGGACATGTGGGAGGGGTGCAGTATCCGTGTTCAGGTGGTGGGAACAAGGTGGGAGGGGTGCAGTATCCGTGTTCAGGTGGTCATGTGGGAGGTGCAGTATCCGTGGGAGGGGTGCAGTATCCGTGTTCAGGTGGTGGGACATGTGGGAGGGGTGCAGTATCCGTGTTCAGGTGGTGGGAGGGGTGCAGTATCCGTGTTCAGGTGGTGGGACATGTGGGGAGGGGTGCAGTATCCGTGTTCAGGTGGTGGGAGGGGTGCAGTATCCGTGTTCAGGTGGTGGGACATGTGGGAGGGGTGCAGTATCCGTGTTCAGGTGGTGGGACATGTGGGAGGGGTGCAGTATCCGTGTTCAGGTGGTGGGACATGTGGGAGGGGTGCAGTATCCGTGTTCAGTGGTGGGGACATGTGGGAGGGGTGCAGTATCCGTGTTCAGGTGGTGGGGTGAGGGGTGCAGTATCCGTGTTCAGGTGGTGGGATGAACATATGTGGGAGGGGGTGCAGAGTATCCGTGTTCAGGTGGTTGGTCAGAGGATAGGAAGGTGGATGCAGTATCCGGTTCAGGGGTGCAGTGTATCTCGTGTTCAGGTGTGTAGGGGTGGAGTATCCGTGTTCAGGTGGTGGGACAACGTGGGTGGAGGGGGTGGACTCCGTGTATCCGTGTTCAGGTGGTGGGAGGGGTGCAGTATCCGTGTTCAGGTGGTGGGACATGTGGGAGGGGTGTGCAGTATCCGTGTTCAGGTGGTGGGATAAGGTGCAGTATCCGTGTTCAGGTGGTGGGACATGTGGGAGGGGTGCAGATTCCCGTGTTCAGGTGGTGGGACATGTGGGAGGAGTGCAGTATCCGTGTTCAGGTGGTGGGAGGGGTGGAGTATCCGTGATCATAGGTGGTGGGTCATGTGATGGGTGTAGTATCCGTGTTCAGGATTGGCTGGTCCCAGAAGGATGGGATCACAGTGTGTACTCTCCTGTGTTCAGGTGGTGGGTGCCATCACTATGTGGAGGGGTATCCCTGTCTATCAGCTCAGTGGATGACTCTCTCCTGTGTGGCCAGGGATCAGATCTGCAGTCACGGGTTCGGTGGCCTCCAGGCCTCCCAGTGCAGATGGGGAGGAGCTGATTGAGATCCGGCCGGAGGGATCCTGGTGAGAGATGGTGTAGGTGGACTCCGTGTTCCAGGTGAAATCCTGGGACACTCCCCCACCTCCCCATTGGAGTCATACCGCGCCCTGAAACAATCCGCTTGGGATACATGTGAGGCGGGGTGCAGACTCCTAACGTTCAGGTAAGGGTGGTGGGAGCGGTGGACTCCGTGCTCCCAGGGCATGGCGGGATATGGGTGGTGGTGGATCATCCTCCCAGATGGCGGGGATGGGTCATGGGTGGATGGGTGTAGTCTCCATCCTCCCAGATGGCGGTATGGGTGGAGCGGTGGACTCTCCCCAGATGTATGGGTTCAGTGGACTCCCCGATGGCGGGCATATGGGTGGAGCGGTGGACTCCATCCTCCCAGATGGCGGATGGGTGGAGCGGTGGACTCCATCCTCCCAGATGGCGGGATAGGGTGGCGGATGGAGCGGTGGACTCCATCCTCCCAGATGGCGGGATGGGTGGAGCTGGGTGGAGAGGCAGCGGGTGGACTCCATCCTCCCAGATGGCGGATATGGGTGGAGCGGTGGACTCCATCCTCCCAGATGGCGGATATGGGTGGATGGCGGGATGGACTCCGTGCTCCCAGATGGCGGGATATGGGTGGGAGCGGTGGACTCCGTGCTCCCAGATGGCGGGATAAGGGTGGAGGGACTGGGATGGAGCGTGCTCCCAGATGGGGGATATGGGTGGAGCGGTGGACTCCGTGCTCCCAGATGGCGGGGGTGGAGTATGGGTGGAGCGGTGGACTCCATCCTCCCAGATGGCGGGATATGGGTGGAGCGGTGGACTCCGTGCTCCCAGATGGTGGAGCGGGATATGGGTGGAGCGGTGGACTCCGTGCTCCCCAGATGGCGGGATATGGGTGGATGGGACTCCGTGGATGCGGTGGAGCGGTGGACTCATCCTCCCAGATGGCGGGATATGGGTGGAGCGGTGGACTCCGTGCTCCCAGATGGCGGGATATGGGTGGAGCGGTGGACTCCGTCCTCCCAGATGGCGGGATATGGGTGGGAGCGGTGGACTCCGTCCTCCCAGATGGCGGGATATGGGTGGAGCGGTGGACTCCATCCTCCCAGATGGCGGGATATGGGTGGAGCGGTGGACTCCATCGTGCTCCCAGATGGCGGATATGGGTGGAGCGGTGGACTCCATCCTCCCAGATGGCGGATATGGGTGGAGCGGTGGACTCCATCCTCCCAGATGGCGGGGATATGGGTGGAGCGGTGGACTCCATCCTCCCAGATGGCGGGATATGGGTGGGTGGATATGGTGGACTCCATCCTCCCAGATGGCGGATATGGGTGGAGCGGTGGACTCCATCCTCCCAGATGGCGGATATGGGTGGAGCGGTGGACTCCATCCTCCCAGATGGCGGATATGGGTGGAGCGGTGGACTCCATCCTCCCAGATGGCGGATATGGGTGGAGCGGTGGACTCCATCCTCCCAGATGGCGGATATGGGTGGAGCGGTGGACTCCATCCTCCCAGATGGCGGGGATATGGGTGGAGCGGTGGACTCCATCCTCCCAGATGGCGGATATGGGTGGAGCGGTGGACTCCATCCTCCCCCAGATGGCGGGATATGGGTGGAGCGGTGGACTCCATCCTCCCAGATGGCGGGATATGGGTGGAGCGGTGGACTCCATCCTCCCAGATGGCGGGATATGGGTGGAGCGGTGGACTCCATCCTCCCAGATGGCGGGATATGGGTGGAGCGGTGGACTCCATCCTCCCAGATGGCGGGATATGGGTGGAGCGGTGGACTCCATCCTCCCAGATGGCGGGATATGGGTGGAGCGGTGGACTCCATCCTCCCAGATGGCGGGATATGGGTGGAGCGGTGGACTCCATCCTCCCAGATGGCGGGACTATCCTCCCAGATGGTGGGATATGCGGTGGACTCCGTGCTCCCAGATGGCAGGATATGGGTGGAGTGTGGACTCCATCCTCCCAGATGGCGGATATGGGTGGAGCGGTGGACTCCATCCTCCCAGATGGCGGGATATGGGTGGAGCGGTGGACTCCATCCTCCCAGATGGTGTATATTGATCACCCTTCATAGGGAATTACCTCCTGTCCTTCCTCTCTCTCAGGTAGACGATGATTTTGCGGTTCAGGACTACCGGCTGCAGTACCGGCGACACAGCTTGGGCCCCTATGAAGACGCGTATGTGGGCCCCGAGTGTGAATTCATAGTCCTACAGATTGACCCCCAACGTGGATTATCAGTTCCGTGTGTGTGCCCGGGGGGACGGGCGCCAGGAGTGGAGTCCTTGGAGCGTTCCACAGATTGGCCACACGAGTCTCATCCCTCACGGTAAGCCCCGCCCCTTGAGCGGACAGTGTACGGCATTCTTGTGTTGGCATGGCAGCCGTCATATTGGTGGGACACGGACAAGGCATGGAGCCTCCTCCAGGGGAAGGTAGTGGTGTCAGGGACCTGGGGTGTCTGCCATGGGGTGGAGCTGCTTGTTATCATCCATTTGTCTGTCGTCTCCCGGCAGAGTGGAGTCCAGGATTGGAAGGTTACAGCCTCAGCAGCCGACGGAACATCGCCCTCCGGAACGATAGTCCCTGCCAGGCCGTCCTCTACTCCAAAAGTGCCACCTACTTCCCGGGACAGACCCTGACCTTCAGGTGAGAGGAAGTCTGCACCGTCCTTTATGTTCAGTTCCTGGCATTACCAGAGGGAGGGCTGCACGTACCGCCCCCCAGTATCGGCAGGTTTTTCTGCTGCGGTGTGTACAGAGGAGGGTACATGTGACTGGCCTGGTCAGGAGGGAAGGTAAATCCTCTGGAGGGTGAGGGGTTAAAGGACACGTAGGTCCCGGTCCTCCCATGGATTGGTGGAGGACCCCAACAATACACCTTGGTGTGAGGGTGGCAGTTATCTGATGGAATGGGTGGTGAATGGGCCCCTGTGCTGGCCCTCGGGGGTGCAGTGTCTGCACTGCTAGATGTCATTCATGGTGTATGTCCTGCAGGGTGGAGACCACCGGACAGCCGGATAAGAGGGACAGTATTGGCGTTTGTGGAGACATTGATGGAGAAGAATGGCGGATGTGGCTCGCTGCAGAGAGACAAGGCTGTGTGTGTGTCAGTCCCGGGGGTAAGTGCGCACACCAACCTACCCCCCCCCCCTTATTGTATACTGACTGCTTTTATGGCAGAGCTCCTAGTGGTGACCTGCCAGATCACTGTGTCCCCCCAACGAGGGCCTGCCAGATCACTGTGTCCCCCAACGAGGGCCTGCCAGATCACTGTGTCCCCCAACGAGGGCCTGCCAGATCACTGTGTCCCCCAACGAGGGCCTGCCAGATCACATTGTCCCCCAACGAGGGTCTGCCAGATCACATTGTCCCCCAACGAGGGCCTGCCAGATCACATTGTCCCCCAACGAGGGCCTGCCAGATCACAGTGTCCCCCAACGAGGGCCTGCCAGATTACAGTGTCCCCCAACGAGGGCCTGCCACATCACAGGTGTCACCCCAACAAGGGCCTGCCAGATCACATTGTCCCCCAACGAGGGCCTGCCAGATCACAGTGTCCCCCCGAGGGCCAGCCAGATCACAGTGTCCCCCAACGAGGGCCTGCCAGATCACAGTGTCCCCCCAACGAGGGCCTTGCACATCATGGTGTCACCCCAACAAGGACCTGACATAACCGTGTCCCCCCGCCTGACAGATCTTGTGTCTTCTCCAGGTGCTGTGTTTGTGAATGGAAAGGAGATGACCAATCAGCTGCCTCCGGTCTCCCCTGGTTCCACCATCACATTCGACACGGAGATTGTGAGTTTGGGGCCCACCAACAACAACGAGGGCCCGCACCACAGGCGCAGGGTGACCATAAGCTCTGGAAACCGGGAAGTGGTGTTTGATTGGCTACTGGAGCAGTCCTGTGAGGCTCTGTATTTTGGATGCTCCTTTGTACACCCCAGCTGGAAGGTTCTGGTGTTTTAGCTGGCTGATGTGGGGTCCTACACTGAGAAGTGTGGGGGTCCTGATGAAAGCAGCGGTGGGAGGAGTCAGAAGATGTTTTCTCATTCTGGGTGGAGACACCCCTGCCTGTATTTGTATATTCCAACCTGGATACAGAAACGGTTCATCCAGTCCATTCTTCCAGGTCATTGGCTCTGTCTTCTAGAATGTTCTATAGCATGCACTGTGATCCCTATTCCCAGATCCACCTGACAGTGAAAGTTCAGGGTTAGGTGGAGGTGTATTCCCCTTGGGGGGGGGGGGGGGGGCATAGATCCCGAGTCCCCCAGCTGGTGCAATTCCCCCTGGGGGGGCATAGATCCCGAGTCCCCCAGCTGGTGCATTCCCCCTGGGGGGGGGGCATAGATCCCGAGTCCCCCAGCTGGTGCATTCCCCTGGGGGGGGCATAGATCTTGAGTCCCCCAGCTGGTGAATTCTCCCCTGGGGGGGGGGGGGGGCATAGATCCCGAGTCCCCCAGCTGGTGCATTCCCCCTGGGGGGGGGCATAGATCCCGAGTCCCCCAGCTGGTGCATTCCCCCTGGGGGGGGGGGGGGGGACGGCATAGATCCCGAGTCCCCCAGCTGGTGAATTCTCCCTGGGGGGGCATAGATCCCGAGTCCCCCAGCTGGTGCATTCCCCCCTGGGGGGGGGCATAGATCCCGAGTCCCCCAGCTGGTGCATTGCCCCTGGGGGGGGGGGGCATAGATCTTGAGTCCCCCAGCTGGTGCATTCTCCCTGGGGGGGGCATAGATCCCGAGTCCCCCAGCTGGTGTATTCCCCCTGGGGGGGCATAGATCCCGAGTCCCCCAGCTGGTGCATTCCCCCTGGGGGGGCATAGATCCCGAGTCCCCCAGCTGCGGTCACTGAACGCTGGAGATCAATCCCTTCATTGTTTTTCCCCAACAACACTCCACTGTTTACAATCCGACCTCCCCACTCGTGGTGAGCAGTGATTGGCTGAATAGAAGAGCCCCCAGTATGAAAAATACCTCCAGAAGGTATTATTTGCCCTAGTACTAAATATACTCTCCAGAGGCTGTCCAAATGCACAAGACCACCCCCCCCCCCCCCCCCCCCGAATCCTGGTCCATGGCTTTGTACACAAGATCCCAAGATTTCTCCAGCCTGGTATCAATGGTTGGGGGGGGGATTTCTCCAGCCTATCAATGGTTGGGGGGGGAGATTTCTCCAGACTGGTATCAATGGTTGGGGGGGGGGAGATTTCTCCAGACTGGTATCAATGGTTGGGGGAAGATTGCTCCAGCCTGGTATCAATGGTTGGGGGGGGGGGGGGGGGGGGGAGATTTCTCCAGCCTGGTATCAATGGTTGGGGGGGGAGATTTCTCCAGCCTGGTATCAATGGTTGGGGGGGGGGGGGGGAGATTTCTCCAGCCTGGTATCAATGGTTGGGGGGGGAGATTTCTCCAGCCTGGTATCAATGGTTGGGGGGGGGGGGGGATTTCTCCAGCCTGGTATCAATGGTTGGGGGGGGGGAAGATTGCTCCAGCCTGGTATCAATGGTTGGGGGGGGGGGGGGGGGGGGATTGCTCCAGCCTGGTATGAATGGGGGAGATTTCTCCGGCCCGGTATGGGAGGGGGGATTTTTCAGGCCTGGTGTGAATGGTCCAGGAGGGGGAGTGGCCTGTACCCTGGGTATTGGACAAGTTGAACACCCAGGCAGGACTCATCCTGAAGATCAGAACGATGCTGGAAGCCCCCCCTGTGCTGTAGATGGACGGAGGGGGGGGGGGGTGCAGAGCCATCTGGTATAGGAAGCCTATTTCTTTGTGAATCCAGAATAAGCCCATCCCCCCCGGACCGTTCTCAACCCCCCCCCCCTCAACCCCCCCCCCCCCGACCGTTCTCAACCCCCCCCCCCGGACCGTTCTCAACCCCCCCCCCCCCCCGTCACATATAGAAGAGCCATAGAGACCTGCCAGCACCTTTACCTCCAGTATTACGAGCTCTCAGGGCGCACCCTTGTGGTCTGGCAGCAGACTGCAGCTCGGGGTGTTTTCTTGCTGTTACTAGTGATGATAATTGTATTTTTTATATATCTATTTTTAAAGAGAGGCGATCACTTTATTTTATTACTTTTATATATTTGAAGAGTGTGATTTCCATGAATCCCCTCCCCCCACTTCTCTGTACACGGCGTTACCTCCTCCTTGTACTTGATATTTGTCGGCTGTGACCATACAAAGCAGCCCCTTCCTTTACCTCTGCTGCAAACACAAGATGGCCGCCCCCGAACATTTCACATCAGCAGAGAGGTACGTGTCCATAGTGTATACAGGGTAATGCTGTCCTCTGATTGGACGATTCATGGCTGGTGCCGTCTACTGTGTTCTTTTCTATGTCAGTGTGGGGAGCCATGTTCCCTGGCTCCGTGTTCCGGCTCCATGTTCCAGCTCCGTGTCCCGGCAAGGCTTTGTGTTCCTCATTTCAATAAAATGTTTGATATTTCTTATAGAACGCTGGTCCCGGCTCCCGTCATTGGAGGGTCCCTGTTATTGTCCTGCACCCGGCCAACACTGACTATCAATTCTTATCCAAGTACAAACCAGAGCTGCTACAGATGGGGGGGGGGGGGGGGCACCTGTACCTGGTACTAGTGGTAGATAAAAGTGGGAGTCACACTGGAAAGGAGGGGTCTCGTGTACCTAATACCCATTGATTGGGGGGTACTCTGGACAGGAGGAGTCCCCTGAACCTGGTACCCATCGATTGGGGGGCACTCTGGACAGGAGGAGTCCCCTGAACCTGGTACCCATTGATTGGGGGGCACTCTGGAAAGGAGGAGTCCCCTGAACCTGGTACCCATTGATTGGGGGGTACTCTGGAAAGGGGAGTCCCCTGAACCTGGTACCCATTGATTGGGGGGTACTCTGGACAAGGAGGAGTCCCCTGAACCTGGTACCCATTGATTGGGGGGTACTCTGGAAAGGAGGAGTCCCTTGAACCTGGTACCCATCGATTGGGGGGTACTCTGGAAAGGGGGAGTCCCCTGAACCTGGTACCCATCGATTGGGGGGTACTCTGGAAAGGGGGAGTCCCCTGAACCTGGTACCCATTGATTGGGGGGCACTCAGAAAAGCAGGGGTCCTGTGGATGATGATGGGAAAATCGGACTGGATGGCTCATGAGCTGCAGCAAGAGGTGCTGGGAACCCAAGGAGGTCAGAGAAGCTTGGGGGTGGGGTTCCCAAGAGGGAAAATAATGAGCCAAAGGGGACATTCTGCACCTGAATACCTAAGAGAACCCACCAAGAGACCTGCTGGGCCTCACAGTCCGCCCCAACTTCGTAGGGACCCCTTCAGGGACAAGGCTGTGCAGGACTTAGCTGGGCTCTATGAATGTCCTGAGAGTTTGGCTTGGAAGGCTCCCGCCGCGGCCGGAGACTGAAGGGCGGGAATCCGCCGCGGCCGGAGACTGAAGGGCGGGAATCCGCCGCGGCCGGAGACTGAAGGGCGGGAATCCGCCGCGGCCGGAGACTGAAGGGCGGGAATCCGCCGCGGAGACTGAAGGGCGGGAATCCGCCGCGGCCGGAGACTGAAGGGCGGGAATCCGCCGCGGCCGGAGACTGAAGGGCGGGAATCCGCCGCGGCCGGAGACTGAAGGGCGGGAATCCGCCGCGGCCGGAGAAGAAGGGCGGGAATCCGCCGCGGCCGGAGAAGAAGGGCGGGAATCCGCTGAGTTCCCACTGGATGTCCTATGTTGGGGCAGGAGCACACTGTGGCTTCCCCAGGAAATGTAAACGATCGATGTCTCTGTTGCTGCTCTGTGCAGATGAGATCAGGGGCCCAGGACCTCGGTATGGATATCAGGCCCATGGAGGACACAAGGTGACACCTGTAACCAACCCTCATAGGTTTCATACAACTACAAAGGGGTCTACCCTAACCTTGGAGATCGAACCCACTCTGCTCCAGATGGGGTCACAACCAATGCAGGTGGGAGGAAACCTGCTGGATTTCAGGAGGAATGCCAGCGGTGGGGCAGCAGATCCCTCATTGTAGGCACACTTGCCTGTTGTGTAGATTCATGTTAAGGTAGGTGTCACTGGTGGATGTACAGGAGGAAGAGGCCACCCATCAACAACACGGGAACCCTTCAACTCTCGGCTGGGAAAGGCTGGAGGAGCGGACAGTCCCGAAGCTGAACCCCCACAGCCAGAGCAGTACATACACAGTGCAATCAGAGGAGGAAATCGGCCCTTGTAGATTTGAGGTGACTAGGAAAAGGCCACTGTTGGGGCTGAGAATGGGGGGGCTGGTCTAAGAGCAGGAGAAGGTCAGAGCCCCTGGAGGGGGTGACACTGGAGTACACCAAACCCCCGACAGTCCATATCCATGAGGAATTGGGAGGTTCATCTACTCCTGAGGAGTCCCGTGTGGCCGTGCCTGGCAGCCAATCAGCTTCTACAATGACACTTCGGCAATAAAACCTGGAAGCTGACTATCCCTATGCAGAGCCGCACCACATTCTGTGAGTTCCCGTTACAACACACCCCCCCCCCCCCAACATGTTCATCTAAGACAGTGGTCTACAAAGTGTGGCCCTTGCTTGCCTTTATCTGGCCCTTGAGGCACTTTTCCTCCCATGGATACACTGACACCAACAATGGGGCATAATTCCTGCTACTGACATCAGCAATGGGGCCCCATTTCTTCCACTGACACCAACAAGACACTGTTCCTCCCACTGACACCAACAGGTCCCAGTAACTCCCATTGATGCCAGGACAATGTAACCCCTTGGCGTTGTCACACAAATCTGCATTCTCACAGAACTGGGAAGATTTCCGTGGGGCCGCATATTTGTGTACCAATCTTTCTGCTGGGAGCGCGCCGCCCTGCGCACTCCCAGCACAAAGACCGCGGTGTCACTGAGAGCCCCGGGTCACGTTCTAATGATCTAGACCCGGGACTCCCGATTTCGGGTCACATGATTGCTGTGATAGCCTCTGATTGGCTAGCAC